AAGGTCAGGCGAGTATGGTGGGTGTGGCAACACATCCCATCCAAGCTCCAATAATTTTTGACGGGTGATCAGACTTGTGTGTGGTCTTGCATTGTCGGGATGGAACACAACTCCTTCACAATTAACAAGCTCTGGATGTGTCTGGACGATGGATTCGTTCAAACTGTCCAATTGCCAACAGTACACATTCGAATTGATTGTTTGGTTCCTTGGTAGGAGCTCGAAAAACACGACACCTTTAAATCCCACCACACTGAGAGCATAACCTTCCTCTGATCAATGTCTGCTTTCGATGTCGTTTGAGGCAAATCATGACGTTGGGACCAAGACCATTTGCACACCATATTGTTGTAAACCATCCACTTCTCATCACCAGTTATCAGTCACTTCAAAAAAGGATCGTTTTCCTCACGTTTAATGAGCATATTGCAGATGTTTATATGCACCGTCAAATGAACTTCTTTGAGTTCATGCAGAACCCAAATATCGAGCTTGCTTACATATCCCAGCTTCTTCAGGTGGTCGTGAACACTTGAATGATGGATGTTCAATGTTTCTGCAATCTATCGTGTCATGTAACGTGGATTTGACTTGATCAATGCCTTTATTTTGTCGTCATCAACCTCGGTGGGCCTCCACGGCCAAGGAGTGTCATTGAGATCAAAATCACCAGCATGAAATTTCGTGAACCATCATTGGCACTGACGTTCTTGTAAAGCATTGTCACCTTAAACTTGATGCAACTTTTCACAAGCTTGACACGCATTCTTCCCTTTATGAAAGTAAAACAGTAAAATATGGCAAAAACACACAGTTTGGTCTTCCATCTTCACCTTGTTGTAAAATCTCCAAAACTCAACCAAATCACTCATTTTTTGTTTAGAATGAAGCTAGAACTGTCAGCTGTCAAATGACATAGCAATAACATAGATGCGAACGGCTCTAGTACTTCCAAAAATGAACTGGTGGCACCTGTTGCAAACATGTGTCATGACTTTTCCGACAACCCAATAAATTAGAGAGAAACAGGAGGCACCTGTGGCCTAAAGGCGCTTACACTTTGCCTGGCTCTTATTTTCCTGGACGAGTCTGTGTCTCTCTTTTATTTCCCCCTGGATTTGTCTCCAGAATAATAAAAACCCACATGCAAAACAATTGCGAAGCATGAAAGTCACCCTTCGCCTCTCAGAGCTGCCTGCTTAGCTCCCTGCCTGCCCTGCCCCCACCACAGACGTGCACACACTCAGCGGCTGCTGACTGCTTATGTCTGAACTGTAAATCATGTTTCATACAAGTCTGGTCCTCCCAATAATGGCTCCCAAACGTGGCCCCTCATTAGAACCACTGGGAAAGTTCTTGAAAGTTTGTTTCCGAACTGCAGCCCTGACGGATTTAATTCCTGAGCCCGGGAAACACTTCCCTAGAGTGAAATAAGGGGAAAATCTGTCAGTCGTGCTCTTCGACTTCATACACACCAGGAATGCAAAAGGCCGTGCAAATATGCGCCCTCACTTCGCCCCCTTGGTCATGGCCCTCTCTCTCAGTAACTCCAGATGGCTTCATAATCCTCACTGTGGCAGCTCTAGTGTTAAAGGGAAATCCACAGGCCCAGCATGGCGTCGTCCTGCTAAAGGCTGTGACCCCAAGCCTAAGCTTAGCACCTGGTCTGACTGCAGCTGCAACCTCTCCCAGCAACTTAATCAACCATTCTGGGATTTTCTGGGCCAGCTCCAGTAAGGCCATCTGTCCCGTGGGCCCTCTCCATCCCCCACAGAAAGAAGAGGCAACCTGCATGATAGAAACCGTTCCTGTTCTCTTCCCCTACCGCCCCCCAAAAAAGTCCTGACCCCCAAATAACCCTTGCTTTCCTTCTGTTAATGGCTCTCTTGCCTTACCCCCTTCTTCCTATAAAACCTCCATTTTCTACAACCCCTGGAAGCACCCTTCTTGTTAGATGGGCTGCTGTCCAATTATGAGTTGCTCAATAAAGCCAATTAGATCCTCACATTTACTGGTCTGAATTTGTTATTTAGTAGTTACTGCTAGGAACGGAAGTTGGGAGAAAAAAAATGAAGCCTCTTTGCCTCAGAAAAGAGATGGAGTTAATTCAATTGCTATAAATATCATCAAAACTTAAGGATCAGCAACATACGTTTAAATGATAGGTCTTCCAGTTGTGGTTTGTAAATCCACTTTTTCTTAATGTCACATGCTGTAATTTTGTGATTTATAGTAAATATACATATTACATATAATAATACACATAATACGTATAGTAAATATACATATCTGAATGACCAAAATGCATTTCTCAGATGTAGTTGATCTTCATCCAAGTTCCTGCCTCACAGCTCCCCAAACTCATGGCCTTTCCTGAGCAGTACAGGCCACGTAAAAATGTCCCAGAGCCGTAAAGATGAAATGGGTGTCTTGTTACTCATAAGAAGCCCTTCCCACTACAACTGGGATTGTGTGAATGAGGAGACTTCTGCAAAGCACCTAAGGATGGGGCCTGGTTGCCAGGGAAACCAACCATGAATGGAGGATTGGAACATTTTGCCTGGCCCCCTGAATTCCGGGAAGCAAGGAAAGGCTAGATGTTGTATCAATCACCAGTGAATTAATCAATCATGCTTATGTAATGGAGCCCCCATAAAAAGGGGGGGACCAGAACACTTCCATGTGCCACCACACTGGGCCCCAAACTCCAAGGGCACAGAAGTATCTCTGGGACCTCACTCTGTGCGTCTTTTCATCTGGCTATTGATGTGTACCCTTTCACAGCTTCAGTAAACGGGTCATGGCACCTGAGGAGAAGGGATGGAAACCGCCAACCTGTAGCCTGTGGGTCAGGAAAGCACAGGTGACCAGCTGGGACTGAGACTGGCCTCTGCAGTGGAGGGCACACTTGTGGGAACGAGCCCTTACCCTGTGGAGGCTGCTTTCATCTCTGGGTAGGTCCCGTCAGGACTGTCGTCTGGGACTTGGACCTCAGCTGGAGCCCCAGATGGCGTGTTTTTGCCGGAACCCCTCCACACACACCTGTTGCAATTGGGTCCAGAGACCCTTTCGTACACAATTTAAAAAGAACGACCTCTTTTTTCCCCTAGGGAGGTCCACTTTGTGTGTTTTCCAGAAGACTTTCCACAGAAGTCAAGCGGATAGACTGTCTCATGAAGTAACATGTCATCTGAAGTCATCAGAAGATACAAAGGAGGAGAGCTGTTCCAATTGGCAAACCTCCCCGCCCACTTCTTCATAATGCTGAGGACACTGTACTTTTGTGATACTGTCTGCCTCTGGGCCCTGGATCTGGGAAGAGCCGCTGTGAGAAAGGCATCGCGGAGATGCAAAGAATACATAAGAGGTACGGCCTGGGCTCTGGGGTGTACTTAGGGCCTCACGGAGCAAGGCCAATACCTCTCTAGGGAAGCCCCCATGGTCCTCAGTATGGGAATGGTTATTGGACAGGGAATGGAAAACGTGAAAGCGGGTTTGAGGTGCTATCCAAACGTGTGAGCTTATTAAAATCGTGTGACAGCCCATTTTTCTTAGTCAGACCTGGCCTTGGACAGTTTAATTTCCATAGTTCAGGGGATGGCACAGGGCTAATAAAATATCTGAAGCTTGGGCAAACTGAATGGGTTTTGTCTTAGTTTACATGACCCTAGAGCCAAACAGCCCCTGTTATATTGGGGGGCCGGGCATTAACAGCCAGGTGCTAGGGGTCTGCCCTGAGCTCTCATCCGGGTAGTTGCCTTAGCCTCGATTTTACTTGGCCCTTATAAATGTTGCCTAAATCAGGGGCAGATGAGAGGGTCGCTATTGGTAGCTTGCATTCATCCTCTTAGGCATAAATTCACATTTTGAAATTAAAGGACTCACATCCACCAATTGTTTCTTATACAGTATATGTGTGGCCATGTGCCACTTTTAGTAAAGCCAAACCCAGCCTTCAGGCCATAGATATCAAATGTCTAGCATCTATGTGAAAGCAGACAGGTTTAGCCGAGTTGCCTATTTGTTGTTGTTGCCCAGTTTTAACTGATAATTTTGATAAATAGAAGGTGAGTCTTTTTGTTGTTGGAGGGGTTTGAAAATTATGGACCCTCCCAGCCCCATCACCCTCAATGCACCTCAGGAACTGACACTCAAGAGGTTGATATTCAGGGACAGGGTTACCCCCTTATAACTTAAATGCAAATGTTGCATAAGCCAGAAAGGAAACCGATTCAGAGCATCTTCTTCAAAACGAGGCAAGCTTTTTGTCCAAAGCCTGGGCTCTGCTCTCTGAGCCCAAGGGTGAAACTAGCCGCTGACTTGTCTTACAATAAAATCTCTCCCTTGGATTTTTAGCATCAAGTTAGGCTTAAGAGAGCCTTTTCTAGTTAACATGTTACTGAAATGTGTCAGTGCAGAAAACTGTTGATATCACTGTGGTGCCAGCTGACCTCCAGAAGTGATGCACTGAAGTTAACATCGAACGCAGTACAGGAGGTAATAGTATGGTAATTGGCAGTGCTTGGGTCTCAAGCCCCGTTAGGGCATTTATCCGAGGAAGAAACTGAGGTCCAGCAGCTTCACACTCATGTCTGTGACATGAGGATAATAATAATAATAATAATAATAATACCTGTTTCCAGGAATGGTACCCAAAGTACTTAACTGGTTGGGCACAAGTCTAGAAAGGTCAGAACAAAGATCCAAAGTACGTGACAGTCGACACATGGAGCACTGAGGATCGTCTGGCATCTCAGCCATTTTGGTCTCAGCAGTTGGCACATGTCACGAGACCTCCGATGGNACACAGGCTGGCTGGGTGGCTCAGTTGGTTAAGAGCTCACTCAAGAGTTTGAGCTCTGAGCAACAGCAGTTCGAGTCCCGGCCTGAGCTGAGCAGCCACTGAGCTACCAATAGGTGGCAGGATGGCTCAGCTAAAAAAAAATAATAATAAAAAAGAAAAAGAAAAAGAAAAAAACAAAAACAAAAAAAAACAACTATATTCAAACTTAAGTCCCTGACCTTAAGGGTGTTTGGTAATACCATGGGGACTGGTGGTTCTGCAGAAGTGACCCCAGCCTGTCTTCACCAAAGCCTGTGCCCTCCAGAACCCCTTATCTTTGGTAGGAGTTCTGATCATAAAGACGCAGAGCCTGCATGCTGGCACCTGCATGCACTCAGCGACTATTTATTTGCTGATGGACGGATACACTGTCCCCCTTCTGAGTCCGCATGCTCCCCCATTATGGCATGCCCACTGCCCAGTGAGGTTGTCTGAGGAGTCCATAATCGACCTGGTGTTCCCAAGGAGGAAACTCAGGGCATCTGAAGGCCTCTGTCAATGTTTGCCAGGGCACCACGCTCCATTGATATCACTTTCAGATGGCCCTCCCTTCAAATTCACAAGTTAGAAGCATTCCTGCAACACCCTGGATGGCGCGTGGATGGATGCCATTTTGGAAATAATCTGCTCTTTGGAGAGTAGTGGAGACTGTTTCTGAGCCTGTGAATCGAAGTCACCTATTCTTTGGTGGGCCTCCCTGGTAGTTCTTATCAGACGTTGGAGTGTTGCCAGGGATCAAAGCGATTCTCAGATCAGCTGCTTTCTAACATCATCTTTTCCATCGTTTAGTAAAGACGGTTTCTGGGGTGTCCGGAAATAAGGATGCAGCAACACATATGCTTGCTTGAGAAAGTGAGGTGAGACTCCAGGTTGGCAGAGCAGTTTATGAACACACATGGGAAGCCAGGGGCCTCATCCCAGAGCTACGAGGCAGCAGTGCATCCTAGTGGATTGAGCTGTGAACCAGAAATAAAAAAAAAAAAAAANCTTGCATTCATCCTCTTAGGCATAAATTCACATTTTGAAATTAAAGGACTCACATCCACCAATTGTTTCTTATACAGTATATGTGTGGCCATGTGCCACTTTTAGTAAAGCCAAACCCAGCCTTCAGGCCACAGATATCAAATGTCTAGCATCTATGTGAAAGCAGACAGGTTTAGCTGAGTTGCCTATTTGTTGTTGTTGCCCAGTTTTAACTGATAATTTTGATAAATAGAAGGTGAGTCTTTTTGTTGTTGGAGGGGTTTGAAAATTATGGACCCTCCCAGCCCCATCACCCTCAATGCACCTCAGGAACTGACACTCAAGAGGTTGATATTCAGGGACAGGGTTACCCCCTTATAACTTAAATGCAAATGTTGCATAAGCCAGAAAGGAAACCGATTCAGAGCATCTTCTTCAAAACGAGGCAAGCTTTTTGTCCAAAGCCTGGGCTCTGCTCTCTGAGCCCAAGGGTGAAACTAGCCGCTGACTTGTCTTACAATAAAATCTCTCCCTTGGATTTTTAGCATCAAGTTAGGCTTAAGAGAGCCTTTTCTAGTTAACATGTTACTGAAATGTGTCAGTGCAGAAAACTGTTGATATCACTGTGGTGCCAGCTGACCTCCAGAAGTGATGCACTGAAGTTAACATCGAACGCAGTACAGGAGGTAATAGTATGGTAATTGGCAGTGCTTGGGTCTCAAGCCCCGTTAGGGCATTTATCCGAGGAAGAAACTGAGGTCCAGCAGCTTCACACTCATGTCTGTGACATGAGGATAATAATAATAATAATAATAATAATACCTGTTTCCAGGAATGGTACCCAAAGTACTTAACTGGTTGGGCACAAGTCTAGAAAGGTCAGAACAAAGATCCAAAGTACGTGACAGTCGACACATGGAGCACTGAGGATCGTCTGGCATCTCAGCCATTTTGGTCTCAGCAGTTGGCACATGTCACGAGACCTCCGATGGCCCCTGCAATTCCTACCTTGTACCAGGGTGCCCTGTGTGACCGATAGAAAGAATACAGCAGAAGGAACGGTCCATCAACTATTTCTGAGGTTATATTATGAAATTTGTGGCAGCTTCCATCACAGCGGCTCTCTCTTCTTCTCTGTAGTCAGCGACTCTGGGGGAGCCGTGTCCTGAGTAACCCTAAGGAGAGGCCGTGTGTGAAGAACGGAAGCCCCGACAACAGCCCCCTGCGTGCGTGTCCAGGCCGATGCCCAGCCTGGGTAAGAACTTCTGTGGTCACCTGACTGACAGCCCGATTACCCCAGACTCCTGACCCTCAGCATCTGTGCGACAGAGTTCATGTTTCTTATTTAAGGGTGCTGCGTTTGGGGGGTAGGTGTTATGTGGCAAGAAACCACTAATTCACTGTATAATTGGCATTTTCATATCAAAGGGAAACGCGGAGAACAAGAAACATTTAGGACAGAAGGTGTAGTCCTCCTTGATGCTGACCTCTGAAGGAAGGAGACACCCTACAAGGGAACTTGTTTTTGACAGAGGTGGCGTTGAGAAAAGCTCGTCCAGCTTGTACACACACAAGGGAGACCCCACCAAGGATGTGAATGGGGGTTGAAATCCAACTCCTGCCTCACCAGCTGTGTGGCCTGGCTCAGAGTGGCTTCTACGCAGAAGAAAAGGTGGCTTACTCTAATATACACGAACGCTGCACCCTCTTGCCAAGACAAGTATCCATGAGATTTGTTTGCCAGAGGAGGCATCTTTTCGTAAGAAGCACAGCGACACGAAATGGGCTCGTTGTGGTTGCGGTGAAAGGGGAGGTGGGCAGGCAATTTAAACCTTTGGGAAGAAGATGTTTCTAATTTCAAATCTGGCCCACCTCATTTATTGTATTGTATCTTTGGATATGTTTATAATGTCAGTTTTCTCATTAGTACAATGAGCACAATTTCATCTATATAATCAGATTATGCAAAGAATCACATGAACTAATTTTGAAAAGCACCAAGCTCAACAGGCTGGTACATAGCAAATGCTCAGTAAATGCAGTTCCTGTTTCCCGTGCATCTGTTTGCATTTAGGCAGAATAAAAAGGCTGTTCATGGACGAACTTGCAGCCTGCCACAGGAGCCAGCACTCGTAGTGCCCCATGTAGTGAAGTCACTGGGGGTTCCCTAAGGGAATGTGTTAAGAACTGAATGTCTGTGTCTCCCTCCAAAAGGCACTTGTTGAAGCTTAATCCCAAATCGGTGGTGTCTGCAGGCAGGGCTGCTGAGCGAGGGTGAGGTTTTGAGGGTGGGGTCCTGGTGACTGGGGTTAGTGCCCTTTTAAGAAGATGTCAGAGAGCTAGCCAGCTCTCCTTCTGCCACGTAGGACACGGCAGCGGGTGAGTGCCTGCACCTTGGAGCAAGACCCTCAAGAGAACCTAACCATGCTGGCACCATGACCTCAGACTTCCGGCCTCCAGAGCTGTGAGAAATAAATGTCTGTTGTTTATAAGCCTCCCAGTCTGTGGCCATTTGTTATAGCAGCCCGAGCTGACTAAGAATGCTCGACAGACGGTCCTGAGCTGTGTATTTACCTGTCAGCATCACAGAAATGGGATCTATAGATAAACAATAGATAAGTAGGTCGGTGGGTAGACAGATAGAATATAGAGAACTACATTACTCCCCTATTGTATAATAATTGTAATAAGTTTCTAATAAGTAAGAGTGCAGACAATTTCTCTCTAGATATCTAATTACTGGACACTGTTTTAAACCACTGTTTGGGGATAGTTTCCTTTGCAATGATAATAAATTGAGAAGCTACCACTACCCTTAGGTCTGGATGAGAGAGGGGAGGTTTGGGTTACTAAAACTGAGAAACAGAAAGAGGGGTGTGCTACAAGCTTTCACTCCTAAGAGAGGAAATGGGGAATAAATACCCTAATCTCACTACCTTCCCTCTGGATGGGCTGAACCCAATGTGTAACTGCCTATTAGTGTAATCCTTCCAAGCTAGCCCCAAGAGGCACAGAGCAGCAGAAAAAGGTGTCAGAAATCTGGAGGGGGAAAAAAAAAGATATTGAAGTCTTTCAAGTAATTTTCAGACCTCTGAGAAACAATTTATGACCCACTGACCTAGACAGGACCCACTTGTGGAAATGACACTCTTCCGGAATCCCACTGCTGTTCAAAATTCTGCTGATTGTCTCATCTTCGTCAAGATGCATACATGGATATATGGGTGTATAGACCTATAGCTAAATCAACATAGAAACCTGAAATATGAAAACGGGTTACTATACCATAATGCCAAGCTGTGGATGGCAATTATCACATTTAAATATCTCTTTTACCAATTTTGTTTTCATGCGCTGAGCAAGTGCTGCTTGTGTCATTCTCAAAGACATTAAGCAAAAAACCAAAAAGTGTCAATGGACTCTTTTAAGTTTGCTGCGACTCTCCTCTTGATTTAAAATGCAAATCATCCTGGGAGACAGTGGGTTACCACTGAGGCCAGCAGTCCTTTACAGGGTGATACGCACACATTTTAAAGACTTTGTCAGAGGCAGGTTTTGATGGGCTTGCAAAGGAAAGGGGAAGGGAAGGCGACGTGAAGGGGAGACATCCTGTGAAATCTCCTGACAGGAGCTCTAAGAGGTGAGCTTCTGAGTCTAAAGATCTGTGACCTCCGCAGCCTGGCTGCCCCAGCAGGCCTGTGAGCAAGGATGTGAGAGAGTGACAGCAGGTGGCATGAGGGTTCCTCCATCCACGTCCCAGTCAGGGCTTCTCTCTGCTGCTCGTCTGCCTGGAACTCCCAGGCTCTCGACGTACCTAAGAGAGGCAAAAACCCACAATCTGACGAAAAGTAATTGTGCCCATGACTTGAGTTCAGACCCTGAAAAATAGAGACCCTAATTTAAAACAGACCTCCACAGAGAGGCCAGGGCCCAACTGGACACAGGTCTCGGCTTTGAGCACATTCTCTCAGGGCGCTCAGGCCTTCCAAGACAGGCCCCACAGAACATGCTGCTCTGTTTTGGGTGGTTTGGAAGAATCCTATTAAACACTCCCTCCAAAGCAGCCATCCTGGCTTCTGAGAGTCAGCATGACACTTAAATGAATTATTCATGCAAGACTCTGCAAGATGGGCGAGTTTCCTGCCAGGAGACCACAGTGAGGAGTGCTGTGAAGCCGGGATTGTGTGGGGAGGGTGCTGATGGCGGAGATTTCAGAAGATGCTGGTTTTGCTGGGGAGAAAAGAAACACCTCCAGACCCTGATACCTGGCGTTCAGCAGGGAGCTTTCTAAATGCTCCGGTCCCCCCCCCCCCCCCCCCCCACTCCTTGTCATCCAAAAGCCCAAACTGCAAAGACATAGTCCTCTCTAATTAGGATAAGAAAGGAGCTATGAAACAGAGCTCTCTGAAAGGACAGGCTGGCATTTCCTGTGTGGCTCTGGCTATGTCGGTCTGGGTTGATGCAGGGGTGTGACTGGCAGAGGCCTCACAGTGGTGGGAAGACTGTGTCTTAAACAAACAAGTGCACACGGCCACGCGATGTCCTTCCACATGCAGAAAGGACATGTCACGTCACGCTGACCTACGGCAGCAGCACAATGCTGATTACTGGATGGGGATTAAAGCCTTTGAGTGTCCTCATGTTTGCAGGATTTCTTACTTTGAGGCCCTGCTTTGCATCATGAGTGAGTAACGCTTATGTCGCTGACGGCACGTCCTGCTGAGCAGCGGTAAGTAAGCTCACTGTGCAGATAAAGGGAGCCCTGCCCGGGAAGCCACCAGGAGAATAAACACAAACCACAGATATTACTTATCTGGTCAGACTGCACAATTTGTGGG